GTGGCGCTACGGACGGCGGGTAAGTAGTTCGGCTGCCCGATGACGTTTTACGTATTATAGGAGTTATTTTACCGTTGTTTACGGATAATGCCACAATTTTTATAGGAATCATAACTATAGGAAACGGTTTTATAGGGGGATCTACTGTACTGCCACAATTTTTATAGGAATCATAACTATAGGAAACGGTTTTATAGGGGGATCTACTGTATAAAATACTGTCGAAATACTTATCGAGTGTATCCCGTTTGAAGACACCATTGCTTAACCTTGTTTTCGTCGTGGAGCGGCACATTGTACGGCGGACGCGTGTGAAGAGTGTCATGTGACATTTGTCGGTGCTGTCCTGTCACGTGATATATCATAATATACTATAGTATGTATTTTGTAATAAGAAATGAAATAATTATGTTACTAGGGTTAATCTTTATCTATGTGCACGGCAGTCCGGACTCTTCATGCTCCCAATGAACTCCTCCCGGAGGGGAGCCGCCGATGCTTAACGTCACTAGTTATTGATTCATGGAAGTTCTTGAACACACTAGTCTCAATAAGTACGTGATCGAGTGATGTCGAAATCGGGTCACGTGACATGAATTGTAAGCATTCGCCATCCAATGTGCTACTCCGCGATGTGAACAAGGTTAGGCAATGGCAGCTTCCACAGTGCAGTCGGTAAATAATCCGATGAGTTTTCGCTTATAGCTCTTATTATATGCGTCACCCCCAAAAATTCCTATGTGTTTAGGACATAACTATTAGAGAGATGTTTTAAGAGAGCAAAATTACGAAAAAAGGCCCCATGCAGTAAGGATAAACTTTTACCATTGCATTGTATTACTGTACAAATAAAGCTTTTTAGCCTTGCCGATCGCTAAGTTCGAATGGTATCGTCTCATGTGGTGTTTACAATGACGCTGCTAAAAGGCCTTCCTATTGGTCAAATTTTTGCCATTCTGCTTTTCGCTGCGACAAAAGTGGAAAATTTTCCACTTGGTATTCTGTCAGCTTCGACGGCAAAAGTGACATCATTTTTCCATTCTGTCGTCTGTTTCTGCATGTGAGTACCAGTACTTTTCGGTTAACGGGACGCCAGCCGATATGCACGGCAACGTGTAAGATTCCATCTGTAGATGAAGAGTTTCACACCACCCCAGAATTGTCAACCCTTGGCATGACATTTGTCTCCGAATGCCAATTTTTAACACTTATCAGTCTCCCACATCCTCCTGACATGCACCTATGAATCACACCTCGACGCTGAAGTAGGGTGAGCCCCCATATCCTCTACAACTATATAACATTGAGTACTCCATGAACTGTCAAGTGGGCTACTCAAAGCTGGCACGGTCATGTGGGCTAAACTGTTAAACGCTGTCTTCTGGCATCCCATTAACCGAAAAGTACCAAACAAGAAAATTAGCAGTTGGAATGCTGGTATTGAATATTTACATAGGATGCACGTAACATTAATATGAGAAAAAGGAAGAAAATAAAAATTCAAATATGGTAATCGAAAAGTTAACCGCTCCATCCATTACGATAAATAATTGGTGGTCATTTTTCGATTTTTACCTTTCTCTTTGCAGTTATTATTACAATTGTCAGTTGGGTTTTCGTTTGTCTCATCGTCTCCATCGATGTTTACTGCTTATGTCTATCCAACACCAAAATTACTTTTGCTGCCAAAAGGGCGGATGTCAGAGGTTTCCCCGACATCCACCCTTTCCTTCTGTGATTAAAAACCCGGAAGCTAATACCGCTTTCCTCTTTCAGCCAGCGGACAACTTCGACCTGTCTCTGAACATTTCCGAAGACGACTGCAGTGCCACCAGACAGCGCAGCGGGGCCTACATGTCCCTGGACCAGGTGGGTGACTTTGCCAGAGGAACCTGGACTCCTCTGCCCCATATGACACTTTTTAACCTTTCTGTCCGGTACTTGCAGACGTTCCACACTCCCAGCTTCGGGGATGAAGAGTTCGACATTCCTCCTCTGCAACTGCCTCCCGCCGACCACCAGGCCGCAACAGGGGAGGCCGACGTCTACCGACGGGTGAGTGTCTCCGGCCCGGTTTCCCCGTCCGCCCTTCCTCACCCGCGCCTTTTTTATTTTCAGCCTCCTTCGGGTGCGCCACCCAACTCCGCCGTCGATTCCTCCGCTCCCTCGGCTGATCCGCTTGACTCTGGCTACGTCTCAGCCGCGGCTTCGGAGGCGTCGGCCGACCGGAGCGACGTCCGTCCCGGGTAAGTGTTGTTTTGCGGAACTCGGTCTCCCCCGCTCTTCTCACCTCGGTCTTTTCGCAGGGCCCGAGACTACGGTCTGCCTCCGCCTCCCCGGTATCCCGATCCGGCCGAGGCCCGCCGCCCGCCTCCTGGACGGACTCGGACTCCCTCCGAGGCGTGCCGGTCCCCGGTCGGAGCTACGGCCGTCCACCCGTCACCCGCCGACTCGGTTCACGCCTCCCCCGGACTGGAGACCAGTGAAGACAGCGACGACAGCACTCCGCTGTCTCAGGTGGGTCCTCTTCCGTTGCCCTGCCCGCACCTTTCTGTGTCTGGGGCTTGGCGTCCCCTTCGCGTTTTGGGAACGGAAAGGAGGCGAGTGGTCGTCTCCCTGACTCAGGAGCTTTCTCCCTTTTGCAGCTGATGGGATCAGTCAAGCGTCCTTCTCCTGAGCCTCCAGAGCGGGCAGTGGTGGTAAAGTCATCTGTTGCCAAGAAGCCCAAGCCGCAGAAGAAGAAGAAAAAGAGGGATCCCAACGAACCGCAGAAGTAAGTTCTTCCTTTGATTTCCTTTGTTTTCTCTGCCCATTCAGACTGGTTTGCGGTGCAGACCAGTGGGAGTCTTGTTTGCCATGCAAAGCCATGTGGAAGGGAATGCAGATTCCAGGCTGCTGGACAAAGCAATGATCGGTTTGTCAGTCCAAATAAATTAATAATTGCCAGGAAGCAGCGGGTTTCTGGGTCAGGGGACAGATTTTTACTTCGCCAACACCTCTTCTTTGCTGGGTTTGGAAATCGACCACTTATCTGGATTTCTACTGAAGTCTACAACTTTTTCTCATAAGAAAAATTTTAATTTTAAAAGTCTGTACTTATAAATATGATTTTAATGTGGCTACTTTCCTTTGCCTCGTGCTAGGCTTCTAATTTTAAATCCTTATCGAAATAGGGACAATTCTGTAAAAGGGAATAATATTGCAAGGGATTAACATCGGGAAATCTTCTTACACCTAAAGCCTAGTACTAACATGCAGAAACATTTGGTTTGGTCTTCTTTCAGTGTTGCGTGTGGAAATTACCATACGAACAAAATGCATGTTGCCAGCCAATTGTAAGTATAAATGGCCACTGCAGTAATATAATGTGAGCAGTGCGCCGGTGATTGCTTTGTTATGTTGACTAAACTTTCTAAGTTTCTTCATGATCTCATTGCAAATAAAGTGAAGAATTTGGATAAGAAAAATATTTCGAAATAGGATTTCTCAATTGGGATCCCAGTTGTTTTTTTAACCAGGGAAATCCTGCAAATTTCTTAAAAGTTCACTTTTTTCTTATTTTATGTTAAGGTTGAGGAAATTTTGCAAATAGAAAGTATAATTAACTCATAAACTGTCAGAATACATTTGTATTTATTAATTTTAAACCTACTTATTAGTTTTTTTTAATTTTTCCTCATTATGGCATGTCACAAATGGTCAATAATCAATACATAGCTTATTGTGGCAGGACTCTGAAAATTTTTTACTTGTTAGAACCTGTAATATCTGAAATAATTGTTCTTATGCTGTCTTAATTTTTAACCATGCCCAGTAGCTTCAATAACAGCATAACACCAGGTTTTGCAAATTGGGCAAGGATACAGATGAGTACGAAGTTTGCAAGAATGAGGTTTTTCTCGAAAACCTGATTATTAAAGCCAAACAAACTGCCAAATTATTGGGCTGTAAGCTTGATGTTTCTATTAAAGCAGCCAAAGTAGACAAATCAAGAAGAGAGCAAAATCTTGAATATAAACTAGAAATCTTCCAGATTACAGGTCAAAAAACACATAACATCTGTCTTCTTTGAAATGCATTAAACATGATTCCACTCACATTGATTGAATCGGAAATGGCATTCTTGATAGCAGGACTTTCATTACTAAATTAAGAATGAGATTGAGTAATCGGAGGAGTATTGACCGTCTTTGCTTTTTAAAATCTTATTATAAAAATTTACAATAATATTTTGTATTATGTTTTATTTAAAAAACGAAAATTACCTTTTAAGTTAGAAGTTTGACCAAAGTTCATTTTTTTTCAATTTTCAACTCAATTCAAAGCATTTTTCTCTGCTGTCGTTGTTGTATGCAGTTTCCAGCAAACTTTAATAAATTTTTTCTGTTTATGAAAATTTCTATGTAATTCAAAGGTATTTTTTAATATATAGTGGAACCTTGTATAACGAGCAAAACAAATTGTAAAAAATTGACTAGCTTAATGAGCGATGTTTCGCATAACGAGTGACAAGGAGAGGGGAAGTCCCATATTGTGAGCATGCTCCATCAATCTGTGTTTAGCACTTGTTCCGCTAGCATCTTAGTGTTGCTTGTGATCGATCACACATTTTTCAAAATTTGTGTTCAGACATATTATGTATAAACATCAACAACCATAGTCCATTATATAATAAACATGCCAAATGATATGCCAAATTTTTGGGCTATGTAAAGGCTATAATTAAATATTAGAAATGAATTAATTTGACTAGAGTAGGCAGTTACACTTACACCTTGTACTAAATTTAATGACCAATTCCAAATTAAATTTTAAAAATATCTAAATTAAAAATTAATTATTTATAATTATTAAATTTAATATGAAATGACAGCATAACTGCCTACCTCTAGTCAAATTAATTAATTTCTAATATTTAATTATAGCCTTTACATAGCCCAAGAATTTGGCATATCATTTTGCATTTTTATCAGACATATCTGTGAGTTTTTTTCCCCCTGCCAAATGAATTTGCATTCCAGGTTGGTTCATTCCATGCTAGAAGAAAAGATGGTGATGATTCATGCTTTTTAACAATGTATATTGTATAATTTTCTTTGAATAAATGTTATACATAAAATATTTGATTATTTTTTCATTATGGAACACATTATCGTATTTTACATTAATTTATATGGGAAAAACAATTTTGCTTAATGAGTATTTCGCATTATGAGTAAGATTCTGGAATGAATTATGCTCGTTAAGCGAGGTTTCACTGTATATCTTACACAGCATTATTAATATGATTTTAGAGGTTTCAGAATGTATTAAATTACTTTAAAAAATGAAAAATAATTATATCATTTGATTTCAAGATATTCTGTATACAGTAAAACCTCGATTATCCGGATTAATTGGGTATGAAGGTAGTCCGGATAAGGAAAAATCCGGATAATAGAAATAAATACTTTAATTTGTTTTTTAATTAATGATAATACAACACGTTTTCTTTTCGATGACATATTAGTAATATTAAAAGTAAATACCGTATTTAAATCGTGATCAAATTTTCAAGAAAAACGTTCGTATTGAATTTGGACTACTACTGTCCAACGCTAACAAACTACCTATTGTTTAAAAGGCCCTCTGGTGGTGCAAGAAGACGGATTTTATAAAATAAAAAGCAGTTGAAACTGCATTTTTATGAATAAAA